GCGGGGGAGGGGAGGGGAGGGGCATGCACGTGGGGGAGGAGAGGGAGGGGCGTGCCCACGAGCAGGACTTTTGGAGACAAACCAGACCTCGACTGAAACTGACTTAAGCAAAAAGTGTGGGTTGGGTCCAGGTCGCCTCAGCTGCCAGCTCAGGTCCAGGTGCACAGATTTTCCTCCCTCCCTTCCTCCTGCCATCCTCCCTCCCTTCCTCCCTTCTTTTCTTCGCCCCTATCTATTCTGACAGACCTCAGACCTAGGGGAAGGGGCGTGGCGATAAACTAAAGCCCCACCCACACTCCTGCCCGCCCACCTGTCACCTCTCCATCCTGTGCTTTGGCGCAGACGCCCCCGCCTCCGTCCTGGTTATTGGGAAGCAATTCAGGTCCTTGGGAATCTTTTCGGGGTGTTTTTCCAGAGGACAGTGGCTTTCCACCCCTCCCGCAGCCCTTGGCTTTTCACTTCAAACACACAGAAAAGCTGGAAGATTCACACAGGTTGCCACTCACCGGGGTTGCTGGGTCGTGCGCCCCACCCCGTATCTGCGTCCCTGTCTCCCTCTCTCCGCACCCCCACACACTCAGGTGCGCAGAGCTGCGTTTTCTGATACACATGGCGCCACCCTGGCGCCCTCAGCGGGCACGTGGCCACGCTGACCCAGAACTTCACCCCCTGCAATGTCTCCTCCTGTCTGAGCACCTCCCGCCGGCGCATCCCAGTCCACACGCGGCCGTGGCCCGCTGTTACCGGTCCCACCCGGGAAACGCAAACCCACCCAGTGACAGGCACGCGGCCGCTCTAGCGCAGGCATGTGTGTTGTTGCTGTTTTAAATCCTCACCCAAGGAGTGAGGATATTTTGCCATTGATTTTTTTAAGAGAGTGGACGGGAGGGGAGGAGAGAGAAACACCGATGTGAGAGAGACACATCCATCGATTGGCTGCCTCCCACACTCACCCCCACAGGGGCAACAAGGCTCGAACCTGCAACCCAGGTATGTGCCCTTGACCCGGAAGCAAACCTGGTGCGAAGGCCAGTGACCCACACCGGCCAGGACCATGACACGCTCTGTTGTCGAGACAAGGGGGTAGCGAGTTCTCGCTGACCCGCTGCCGGCAGGCGCCTCCCCCTCAGCCCCCACCCTCTCCCCTCTGCCATTCGGATCCCGAAGTTGCGATCCAGGCAACGTTGCTTAAGTCAGTTTTAATCTGGTCACTGGGCTGCCTGCCCGCCCGCCTGTGGCCTGGGTTGGGTGGCTGTAGTCCCGGATGCCTCCCTCTAGGCCTCCCGGGAGTGGAGGCTAACGCGGTCGGAGTCCGGGTGACACCTGCGGGGTGGGAAGGGCTTCCTCTGCCCCTGCCCCTGGTCATGTGCCTTCTCCCGGGGGCACTTGGAGTCCGGAGCTGGGGGGGCGGCGGGGAGGGGGGCTCAGGGGAGCAGCTGCCCCCGG